AGAGAGAGAGAGAGAGAGAGAGACGCCTAAGTTCGACGCGTTGCCTTTGAGTTTTCGAAGAAAAAAAAACTAAATAATATTTAAATGATTTAATTCGTGCTTTTTTTGCTTGCAGGTTGATAGCTCTATCTGAGCATCGTGTATGATCTGATCGGAGTTATTGCGAGACGAAGTCCAAATTTTGCTTTAAGAAATATGATATGATGAGATGAGATACGCTATGCGTGAGATGAGAATTTTACCGCTAGGTGATTATAAATTACAAGACTGAATTACTTGATTATTACATCAAAACAAATATTAATAAATGTTATATATTTATAAACATATAATTTTATAATCTGTTGGGCCAAATTTACATAAAACATTTCTAAGAATTGTAGAACTAAGAAAGTTTAAATATCGTGTTATTAGTTAGTTTATAAATAATATAAAACGTATTTCATTAAAAATAATTGTGCTTTTTATGATATAATATAAACTCTTCTATATGAAAGTTAATGTTTAATTCTCAGATTTATTTATGTTATCTATAATAATATGAAAAACGTAAATAATTACCCATCATGAGATGAGTCGAAGCTCGACTTATTTCACTCTCTCTTAATTCTTATCGCATCCTCCAAACACTCTCGCCACCAATGAATCATCGTTAATTGAATTTAAAAACGTGTTTATTTTGTTTTTCCATTCGCTTTGCCATTCGTCATCCATTAGTTGACGGTCAATACTGCGACTGTAAAGATTATTTCGCTAATTAGTACGAAAATCGTAAAATATTAAGAAACTTCTCCATTCAGTTTAACTCACTAGATCGTGAATAATGGAAGAAATATTAGAAAAAAGAATAAATATAATAATTTTATTTTATCGGAAATCGTGTATTCCACACATTTCGTGGCGTCGCAGTTATTTACGAGACAAGTCGCGGAAAATTAACATCGTTTCTTATAATTTTTGGGACGAGAAATCCAATGGTGCTAATTAAAATTACGTCACATGTCGAGAAACACATCAAAAATTGAATTTAAAGTGCGAATCGGAAAAGTGCGTGGCGTCACAATCATTCGCGAGACAAGTCGCTACACTGCATGTGTTGATATGCAATGTATACATTGTTTTTTCATTACATATAAAAGAATTTGTTATAAAAATACTATATTTAATAGTAAAAATATCAAGCGCAACAGTAAGTCCCGTGCGTCTGCATGAACATATTTGAGTCGCGACTTCCCGTAATTTAACGTAATTTTAACTAGCACCATTAGATTTCTCGTCTCAAAAACTATAAGAAAGGATGTCAATTTTATTTTCCACGAGCGAGAACATCCTTCTTTCAAAATATATTATTCATGGTTTTACAGATATTAAATTTTATTTGTTGAAAATTATGAAACAATTTAATTTGTCTGACAAGCTTTAACCAGACATAATATAATGGTAAAATTATTTATTTATGCGTCGCAATTGACCACGCGTTGCGATTGCCCACGTTGCTCAATGTACAATTATCATTAGATCCTTATAAAAAAAATGTATGCATGTATGGGAATATATCACATGTATGGCATTCGATTCTTGTTTATCTGTCATTATTCACGTTTTTTATTTTGTCAATAACTACTTAGAGGATAATGATATTTATTATGATCATTACACTCATATTATACCGTCTCTATACCATATGTCTCTCCTCATGTATTTGAAAATTCTCATCATGTGCCTGTATGAATATATACGACAGATTTATTAAATAAAAAATAATTTAATAATATTAAATAATTGTATCAGGAAAATGAATTCGGTGTGAACCTCCTCACCTTCAGTATCGAAGTTTTACTGCTGAAATTGGACTCGATACTAGAGTATGTGTTTTCAGGAAAATAAATAGTTTCAAGAATAATTAGAATAATCAAAAATCTAAACTGATATGAACAAATTGATTCCTTTTAAAATATAGCAATTAACTTTTACGATGACGTTACCTACTTGTAAGTAAAAAAAAGTACAAGTTATATTTGAATGCTTGCATGTTGCAAGAGAGTTACAAATGGTACGTAAATTGTTTTTCACAACACTATATGTTTTAGTATGATTATATTACGCAACACACACAAACACACCTTACCTGCAATGTATGATTATTAATAACTTTTTTAAAAACTAAATTATTTATATTATTGTATATCATTAATCAGGACAAAAAAATATATCAATATTTTATTTTCGTTTTAATCAATTTTAAAATTTTTCAACTTGTAAAAAATTTAATTTCTAGTCTCTATACTTTTTGCCTCAAAAAATATTATTTGGTAATTAAAAGACTAATATTTAAGTTTCTTAATTAAACATTTATTACTTTTATATTATTTTAAATTAATACATTTGTAATATTTCTTACATTATTAATCACTATCAATATAAATGATTAAAATAAAAGATGAAGACCGTATTATCTGCGACGACACACGAATCTATGTATAAGTCCATTACTAAAATGAGCTAAGAAACATTATAAGCTATAGCTAATTGTAAAAACGTGTGAACGTACCGAATGTGTCTTTTCTTCATCCCCCATCTTAATGACAACCTGTTATTATGAATATTTTTTACTACTTTACGTGATGTTTGGCGATAAAATGTTGAACATTCAAAACAAGAGGATACAGAATATTTAAAATACTTTGTCACAAGTTGATCGCTCGATACTTCCAAGAAGTGGCATAAAGAGCGTGCGCGCGAAACTTTTGCTGAATAGCAGATAAATGCTGTTTTCTGGAAAAGAAACAGATGTCAGTCTTTATATAATATTCGACATGGACAGTTCGAAATATACCGCATATCAAGGTGCTTGTTCTTGTAACTGACTTTACAACTGACTGTTGTAATTGAAAAAGAGAGTAACTTTATAAAAATGATTTCTATTTATTATACGAGATGGTGGTGATATTTAATGTCAACATTTTATCTTGTCGAATAGAAATATTGTATTATTCTTTTAATATTATGATAATTATTAACATATTTAAATATTATAATAAACATTAGCCATTTATCATTACAGATATTTGAAACAAAAGATTTTATTGTTCTCTGTTTATTACTTTCTCAATTATTTTTAGATTTGAATAGTTAATTTAATATATATAATTAATAAAACGATAGGTTTTTAAAGTTAATATGTTTTAAGAACCTATTGTTTTATTTTATGCATTCTACTATACACACATAAACATAATATTTTGTACGTTTGCATTAATAGTTAGCACACGTGATTAAAATTCTAAGAATACTTTTTGTGAGCTATGATTTACTGAAGTTTCTACAGGTAGATTTCGAATGGGCGGTGAAACTGAATCGTATCACTTTAGATTTTATTGGGCTTTGGCCTATAACCGCGCAAAATCCTCTACAGAAGTTAATGTGCAATTTTCGGGTGTTCATCGTTTTCGTGGCTATAGCTTGTGGCGTTCTGATTCCTTCTATACATTCATTAATAAGAATTTATGGTGATATCATATTAATGCTAGACAACTTACAATTTTCTTTACCGGCTGTAAGCTGTTTGATAAGAATTGGGGTTTTTTGGTGGAAGAAAGAAGGTAGACAATTTTTTGTTATAACTTTTAACTACAAATATCATAAACATAAGCGGTATAGCAAACTTATAATAAAATTGTAACAAATTTTAACTCAAAAAATTGTTTATACATTGTGTTTAGATTATTTAGATTTTTATATCAGTGAAATTACTTTTTAAATATATGCATACACTTATACACATATACGTATATAACTGAATTAATTTATTTTTATAAATAATTTAATTAACATTAGAGAACGCGTTTAAATTACAAATTTATAAATACTTTAAACGAAAATTTTACATTACATAATTTTGTTTCCGATACTTAATAGTTTATTTTTTATCTTTTCTTTTACTACCAACTTTTCTTCCAAAACTATAATAATATATAATCTCTGCTAGCTCTGTACGTGAAAGAGATGTATTATTTGGTCACAAAATTACAAAAAATAAGATATGTATGTCTTTCGCACATTGCCGCATAATATACATATATATAATAAAATGTTTAGCAAACGCAATAAGATAGAATTGAAAAGAATTGTATATACATATATATATATATATATATATATATACATATATGTATGTACATATACATATATACATATACAATTCTTTTCGATTCTATCTTATTGCGCTTACTAAACATTTTATTATTTACTATCAAATTTGTTATAGTTTCTGTTCCAATATTGGTAAATGTGCATTAAAATATACAATATTAACACTTTTGAAGCTATTATACCAATCATAGACATGATTGCGGAGGATTGGGTAAAACCAAAAAATACGCAAGAGAGAAATATAATGATCAGAAGAGCGCAGAGTGCACGCATAATTATTACGTGCGCATATTGCATTATGGTAGTAACATGCATTTTTGTTATTATTCTACCTGCCTTTGGAATATCAATGAGAGAAACGACCAACATTACTGATCCAGGCAGACCAATGCCTCTACAAAGTCATTACATTTACGATGTAACAAAACGACCGTATTACGAACTGACGTTTATCAGTCAATCTATTTATATTATTCTTGCCATGATGTCCTATAGTGGTATTGATAATTTTCTCGGACTGTTAGCTTTTCATATATCCGGCCAACTGGATATTCTCAAAGAACGTTTGATACACTCGGATGAATACATTAACTCTTATGACATATTAAAGAAATGCATGGCAGAACACATTCGTTTACTTAGGTTTGATATTTATTGAAAATATTTGTATATACAGAAATAATTTGCACATGTACAATTGTACAGTGATTTTCAAGTTATATTTTATTTTAATACATAGAATATCTTTCGTAGAGCCATTGCCATTATTGAAGATGCGTATAATATAATACTTCTCTCATTATTTGTATACTTTGGAATACACTTCTCTTTCTACGGTTTCCGCATAATTAATGTAAGTATGCAAATGTTTAAAAATAAAAATGTGTTTATTAATTAATTTTGCAAATATAAATTTTAAAAATTATTAACGCAAATAATATCTGAAAACAATACTTATTAAATATATAATTATTACTATTTTAAAATATTTTGTTATAAACATCTAAAATAAATCTTATTTATAAAAAATCGTATTTCTTACGCAACTTATATTATAAATTAATTAGCTATTTGACGAAGAAAATGACTTGTCTGTCACTCAGTTGGCATACTTTATATCCATATTGCTTAATTTATTTGGACATATGGGTCTATATTGTGCTGTCGGTGAGTTTATAGTGATCCAAGTAAGTTGTATTTTCTTTTCTATTATAAAAGTTGTATAAAGTTATAAATCACGTACTTGGCCTTTATATATTTGTATATATACATATAATATTGTATGCATTAATAATAATATTTTTAAAAAATTGCAAATAATACAGTTTAATATCTTTGCTATGTGCACAACATTATAAGTATCAAAAATAAATATTGATAATAATGTAGTTTGTATTAAATTTAACGTTGTGAAAATTTAATATAAGCTTTTAGAAAATAAAAATTAGTTATAGTTTATTGTATTCATTATTTATACACATACATTAGTTTACAATTTAAATAAGAACGAAAATTGATTTATAATTAATGATTAAATTTATTTTATTATATGAATTAACGTATATATGCAATTTTTATCTAAAAGTATTTTTAACTTTTTAGTGTAATGAAATATATTATGCGGCCTACAGTACTAAATGGTATTCCGCGGATCCAAAAATTGCACGAGATTTATTGTTTTTGCTTACAAGTAGAGATGCGCACGAGACGAGATAAATCTCGATCTTGTCTCGATCTCGTCTCGAAATCGAGACGAGATTCGAGATCGGGATTATTTATAATATTCGAGATCAATATCGAGATTCACCACATCAAGATCAAGATTATTGAAAATTCTCGTCAAGATCTCATTGAGATCTCGACAAAATATTTTA